CCTAAAAGTATTTTAGGAAGAGATTCCATATTACAGAAGAATAAATAAACTCATTAAAATAAGCAAAAGAAGAGTGAGAAGCGATTGAGTCACCTTGCACATGAAGGTACGCATCAGAGGAGGGAGTAGGAGTGTCTGAATTTGAAGATAGTATGCCTGTGTGTGCCTGTGGTGGGCTGACCCAGGCTGGATGCCACGTGCCCCCTAAAGCTGCTCTGTCACTGCCCTCCTCCTCAGCTGGGCAGGGGAGAGAAAATATAACAAAAGCCTCGAGGGTTGAGATAAGGACAGGGAGAGATCACTCACGAATTGCGGTCACAGGCAAAACAGACTCCACTTGGGGAAATTAGTTTAATTTATTACCAATCAAATCAGAGCAGGATAAGAAGAAATAAAATCAAATCTTAAAAGTCCTTCCCCCCACCCCTCCCTTCTTCCTGAGCTCAACTTCACTCCCAATTTCTCTCCCTCCTCCCCGCCAGCGGCGCAGGAGAACGGGGAACAGGGGTTGGGGTCAGTTCATCACCAGCTGTCTTTCCTGCTCCTTCCTCCTCAGGGGGAGGACTCCTCACCCTCTGCCCCTGCTCCAGCCTGGGGTCTCTCCCACAGCAGACAGCCCTCCACGGACTTCTCCAACGTGAGTCCTTCCCACATGCTGTAGTCCTTTATAAATGGCTCCAGCATGGGTCCCTCCCTGGGCTGCAGGTGGGGATCTGCTCTAGCGTGGGCCTCCGTGGGCTGCCGGGGGACAGCCGGCCTCACCGTGGGCTGCACCAGGGGCTGGGGGGACTCTCTGCTCCGGGCCTGCAGCACCTCCTCCTCCTGCTGCACCCACCTGGGGGGCTGCGGGGCTGCTCCTACCACACATTCTCACTCCTCTCTCCAACTGCAGTTGCACAGGTGTTTTTTTCCCCTTCTTAACTCTTTTCTCCCAGAGATGCTACCCCTGTTGCTGAGTGGCTTGGGCTTGGCCAGTGGCGGGTCCATCTTGCAGCCACCTGGTGTTGGCTCTGTTGGACACAGGGGAAGCTTCTAGCAGGTTCTTACAGGAGCCACCTCTGTAGCCCCCTGATACCAAAACCTTGCCACGCAAACCCAATACAGTGCCCCATGGATGTAAAAAGAGCTGGGGCTGAAGTCCTGAACAGGAGCACCTTTCAGCTGTGCTTTGTTCTTGGCATGTAGGTGCTGCCATTCAGCTTCTCAAACACCCAGTGAAGGAGCAGTCCGGCCTCCCTGTCTCCTGGAGCAGCACAGGTGCCGAAGGGAGCTCGTTGCAAACAAGATTCCTGCTCCCACCGTGCCTCTCAAAACTGACAGACAACTACTTGAGAATAGTACAACTTCGCCCTGAGTGAAGCCATATTCTTATAGAGTCCTCTGGGTTTAGTTTTTTTAAGAGGTTTATGATTTTACAACAGGCTTTTGTATATCCATATATCTGATTTTCTTCTTTTATCATAACAATTATATACAAAAGCTTGTCAACAAAATATTGTTGAATTGGAAGGAGAGGGATGTGAACTGTTACCACTAGAATGTTATCTGCTATTTGTAGAAGTGCTTAGTTTTTAGAGGCTTAATATGCGATGAGATATAAACTTGAGGTGCTGAATCTGAGAGCTTGAATTCAGCTGCCTAAAGACATGTCCTTGTACATACTGCTGGTGACTTCCGAAGAACCTAGAGATGTTAGCTCTGACTCCAGAAGGAAAGGGACTTCAATATGTGGGAAATACTCCTTAAGAGAGAAACAAAATTTTGAACTTAAAGGGAAACTGAATCATGAAAAATGTCTACAAAATTACAACTTATGAACTTTTTGTTAGCTAACTTTAAGGAGAAATACCTTCATGTCAGTCATGACATTCTGTACGGCTGTGTTTAGAGAGAATGCTGTTGTATCCTTGGTCATGATGTGCCTCCTTCTGAGGCTGAAACACTCTACCATACTATCGAGTGCACAGGCGGAAGTTTTTTCAATACCTTTTCCACCATTCTCTGAATCTTTTCCAGCTCTGTTGTGTCATTTCTGAGACAGAGTCACCAGACTTACAGCACTCAAAATACAGCCCAGGGTATCTGTGTGCCCCAGACAGATACGGTGGAATTAACAATGTTCTTCATTTTGATCTTCTGTGTATTGAATGGACAATCATCTCTGTGTCTGTAACCTTCAGGGGGACATATCCCCAAATTTCATAGCTCTCCATGGAAGATCCCAGCTGTATTCCATTCATCCAAACGTTCTCACTATCTAGATCCACAGGGTTTTCCTCAGTCTTTCCTCTCTGTTCACGATACAGAGAGATTCCTTATTCCCCTCTAATGCTGTCTTTTGATTTCCTTAGCCACACCGGTGACTGTCTCCTGAAAATCCTTCATCCCTCTAACTGGGTCTCTTACCAGGTGCTATCTCCATTCTACCTATTTTAACCCCTTCTGAACTTAATCATATGATGCGTAGCACTTAGTGCCTGTTGGGCAGCAAGGTCATTATGAGACGGGAAAATAAATACTCTTTAGAGGTTAGTTTAAAGTGTAGATTGACATCTGCAGAGGTAGTTGTAACACACAAGGTGCAAGAGGTGACAACGTAGTACCCTCTAGAGGGCTCTGGCATAAGGACAGTTGATTACTTTGAAATAATCCACATACCATTTACTATCAGCATCATCTCTCTTTCTAGGTGATATGTGTAGTCCAAGTGTCTAAACCAAAGAAACAGAAATCAGCATTACTAGAATCTCATTCTTCCTGTTGTGTGTTACTGGAAGTATTTGTGTAGCAGAAAGTCTAACAAGTCCGCCAAGCCTAGTTCATGCATGCGCAGTGCAAACAAATACAGACTTCAGTTTGGTGTAGGTCAAGTATTTCTATTTCCCTGAATGGTTTCCAAGTGTTTGCATGGCAACGTGACCTGTACTTCTGGAAATTAATTTCGCATCTGTTCTCTCGTTCCACGCCATTCTGCGTCGATCTCTTCTACCTGTAATCAATGGAGCCAGCTCCTCTTCCCCCCCCTCCCCGTTCTTTGGCGGTGCATTCGCCACCAGAGGCCACTCCCCGAGCACACAGCCCTGCCTCAGCACTTAACCCTGCAAGTGCCGGTACAAGTGAAATACACCCTTCACTTCTGCAGCCTCAGGGTAATTTTGGCCCCTCGTTTGCCCGGGATACTCTGCTAGCCTTTGGAGCTCGGACCACTGTGTGCATGTTTTTAGAGCTTAGCTTCACCATAGACATTCTGTCTTGGCGGGGTCATGACGGAGCCTTCTCCAAACTGCTGTATGAGCTGAACCTGCCTCAGGGGAGAGCTACGGGGAGACTGGCGTGCTGGGCAGACACTAGTATTTTGTGTTCCTTTCCAGGTTTTCCACTGCTGGGTTTATTTGTGAGCTGCACAGCCTATAGTTGACTTCTGTTCTGTGTTGTCTAGGTGGTGGCTGTACAACCGACTTTCACATGAGTCTGAGGAATTCAGATGGTAACTTCTCATTAAAATTAATAAAGCTGTGGTTTGCGATCTGCCTACTTTGGCAGCCCTCTCTCCTCTAAAATATCATGCAGAAATTCCTGAGATTCCTCAAACATGCACAAGAGACTACTTTGAAAGGCCTAGGACAATACAGTTCATTTCCTTTGATCTCTGAATTTGTTAGTCTCCAGAAGGTAAAGTTATTTTTTTTCAACTAAGTCTCTGGAAATGGGTTTTACCCATGAGAGTGGGCTGCAATGAAACAAGCTACTGTTTGTTTTCATGAACAAGGTTGCCCCATCACTGGAGAAAGCTATACTATAATTTCTTTGAAATAATGACTATAGAAAAGCATATAAAAAAGCTGGACAGCAGCAAATGCAACTCCCAAAAGACAGCTAATAACAAGAGAGTGCTTTCTGATTATTTGTTGAGTTGCTCCGAGCTGTTGCAGCAGCCAAGCAATCAAATTTTTTGCAAACTTTAGTCAGGAATGTTTTTAAGTAACAGTTGGATGTGGCTGAAAGAGTTTATGTTAATTTTCTTCAGAGTACAGATCTTCCTGTATCCAAAAGTAAACATTCCAGGTACTTTCACATGTACTTCATTTGTAACAGGTATAAGGCAAATATTGCTGTTAGTATTAACATTTTATGGAGGAGAACTTTGTAAAGATCCTTTAAATTATATTTCCTTTTACCTTCTTTTGCTTGTCTGTTCAAAAACAGATCCCTAGTTTGCACGTTTCCAGTTTAAACCGATGAGTGTCAGTTAAGTTTATGTGAATCACAAATTGAAACATCCCTTTCATTTTGCGATCGTTCCTGTCTCTTTGTGTCAGGCCTGGGTGAGCACTCATTTGATGCCAACTTCATTTGCATTCATCTAGTGCTGAGATTCTGCAGCCTGTTCTGGGCTGATATTCAACTGCTATGGAGTCTTAGAGCTCAGCTCCACAAGAGTGTCTGGCACAATATTAAAAAAGAAAGGCACAGCTTGGGATGCTCCCAAGAAGAGTCTGATCTGCCCTGAATGCTCAGAAATTGTGCTTTAACTCTAAATTTCATTATCAACTATTGTAATGTATCATCAACTTTTCTACCTGGAGGCATGTGTTGGCATGGCTTTGTATTTCTTTTTAAGTGTTTACACCTGCAGAATGGAAGAAAACCTACACACAGGATTCTGGTTGCATTAGACAGAAATGAAGTTTTATTAGAGACATTTTCCTGATACAGAACAACCCAAGTAACAAAGAGGTTGAATCTGTAAAGCAAGTAGCTCAAGTGCCAAGGATTGCAGCCACAAAGCATCCCGGGCAGAAGCAGCACATAGTAGGCATGGCAGGTGGGCAGGCAGCCCGTTTGAGTAGCTCTGGCAGGCCTTCTGTGATAGATGGCATCAGCAATGCTGAGGGACTGTTAAGAGCATCTGTCTTTCCTTGGGAGCATGGGGAATGGAGAGGATTTGAGCCAATTTCTGTTTGAAAGGTCTTGCACTGTAGGATCCTCCGTGTATATTCTTAGTCAAAAGATTTTCTTCCGTACCCTGTTTAGAAATAAAGAAAGCATTCATTTCTTCAGTACTGGCACTGAATCTCTGAGGCACCTGTATCTACCAGACAGAAAAGAAGCTTGAATATGTGGTAGGTGACCATCAAAAAACCAAAAGCATAAAGGAAAACTTCAGCATGGTACAAACCGAGCGGTATTTATGAGGTTCTGCAAAGAATGAGAGAGATGAACAAAAACAGCTGGGGTTTTAACTACATGATTAGCTCATGTCACCCACAAAATGGAATAGAAATTGAGTGTGTGTTTCTTAAGTGGAGTTGATGCTTTGCACACAAATAGGAAAGAATTGTTAATAAAAGTAAAGCTAATTCCAGTAATTTTAGTTTATCCTCGGTACTGTTTACCTCCAGAAGAATATGTTGATCCAGTGTATAAATTAGTAAGGATGGGACTGAGAGAACAGTGTGCCCATACAACAGTTCTCACCTTGGCTTTCACCACCACTCCTGCAGGACTGAGACTGGGAAGATGAAGAGTAGGAGTGGGAACTGCTGACGCCTCCTGACATCCTTCCTCCTCCTCCTCCTCCTCCTCCTCCAACAACACTACTGCATCCACCACCGCTTCCCCCTCCTATTCCTCCCATTCCTCCTCCACCACTTCCTCCTCCCATTCCTCCTCCCATTCCACTGCTGGAGGAAATGCCACCACCACCTCCATATCCACCACTCATGCTACCACTTCCTCCTCCTCTTCCTCCTCCAGAAGAATAGCCACCACCTCCTATTCTACCACCTCCCATGCCTCCTCCCATGCCTCCTCCCATTCCTCCTCCCATTCCTCCTGCTGGGATTCTGCAAAGAGAGAGAAAGAAGGAGAAAAAAAATTAATCAAATGCATTTTTGATCTCAGAAGGAAATCTATCTACAGATACTGCACAGAAGCGTGCACTGCTCTTGTCTGTACTTCTCCTTTTTAGAACCTAGCAGAGATCAGCAAGACAATTGATGCAGTGCCAAAAATCAACCTGTCTTTCAATTTCAGCTTGAACACAAGAGTTTTTGCTTTTCCCACATTCTGCTCAGGTATTTCTTGCAAGATTTAGCATTGCTGCTTTATCAGTGTATGGTGACACTGCACTCCAAATTGGAAAAGCAGAAAATGAAATTTTAGCTGTTCTTTCAGTTGCCACTTACAAGCATAAGGGAAACCAAAGTAGCTTGAACTTTCAGAGAATTGCACACTGAGATTTTATGAAGGTTTGGAAAACTATGGTCATTTTTCTGCTTACAGTCTTTTCCAAGGTGACTTCTGTCTGTTCAATTCCTGGCCTTTTCTGGAACCAGGGTAAGGGTAAGGCTCTTTACATGCGTTTCCCTGTCCAGCCCAAAAACAGTAGTTCAGAATTTCTGTATTATTTTTTCCTCACATGATTTATATTCTGAGCAGGTTTGCCAAGAAATGTGTAAGTGCCTCAGACCTGGGAGTTGATTGATCAAGATAGCTGAATTAGCCTCATTTCAGTACAAAATCTGTTTTGCAAATCTAGACTGTTAATTTCCTGGTTTTGTGACTAATCTGTCAACCCTGGCTTTCATAGAATATTTTGTTAGTTTACATACACAAGGTCTTGCTGCCCTTCCTCAAGCAGTGCCCGGTACTGAGCAATCTCCTGTTCCAGGCGGGTCTTGATGCCCAGCAGCATCTTGTACTCTTCATTCTGACTCTCCATCTCGCAGCGGATGCTGGCCAGCTCCTCCTCCAAGGGAGTGATCATTGCCTGGATCTGCTGCAGCTGCATGCTGTAGCGACGTTCTGTGTCTTCCAAGGTGGATTGCAAAGAGTCTACCTGCAAATGGAAAACAAAATACAGTGTTTATGGCAATGTGGCAGGTTTAACTCATTTTTGTGAAAAATTGGACATCTTCACAAACCAGAAAAAAACATATCTTTGAATATAAGTAATCCAGTATCCCATTCTCTACAGATGGAGTACTTTCTAGGTGTAACCATTCTTTCGTTCTAGTGACACATACACCCTGTGTCACAGGTGAAGCAGAAGCAAACACCTTTACTCACCATGCTGATTTGCGACTGCAGCTCAATTTCCAGGCTTTGATATTCACGCCTGAGCTCAGAGATCTGTTGGTTACTTGATTGTATCTCCTGGCCACTGGAGTGGACTTGTTGATTAACTTCTTCCATCTGAAAAAGTCACATACAAAATTGAGGCATTTTTGATAATAAGAAAACATTGTGGGGTTATCATAAAAGCATTGAGAAAACAATTAATAAGAATAAAGAAGGAGGTAATGTAGACTGGCTGTGTATATTTCCCACACGCCACTCAGCTAACTGCCTCTGTGTAATTCACCTTGCTGCTGGAACACAGAGATTCTACAGGCTTTACCACATAACCTTAATACTCCAGAACTGACCTGTTACAGTAAACTCTTTAAGGTGATTTGAAGTTAATATCGCTTAAACAATACATGATAAGGTGCCTTTGCTCTGCTGGATGTAAATAGGTCCAGTTCTTTGTGAAAGATTTAATAACGAAAGAAACCCTGTGTTTTACCTTGGTTTCATACCAGCTTTCCACCTCTCTCCGGTTGTTCTCAATAAGCCGTTCGTATTCGGAACGCATTTCATTTAATTTTTCCATCAAATTAATGCCAGGAGTAGCATTGACCTCCACATTGACATCACCACTAGATTGTGTTTGCAGTCCTTTCATTTCCTGGGGGGGGGAAACAAACACAAAAAATCGCACCAGGTTCTCAAAGCGTGAAGGTAAGGAGAAATGTCGTAGTTTCAAATAAAGGAAAGGAAAGGGACACAAATCCTCACGCAGCCATATTGCTCCTGCAAAGGGGCCCTCATCCGCCCTTCTCATGAAAGGGAACAATTCTGCCATTCCTAAGCCAAACTTTCCAGTGGACACTAGCCAGGCACCACATACACATTGACCCTGACATTTTCGCCTCAGGATCATAAGGAATTCTATGCAGCGTGCTCTTTGTGAAAATCCTTTTATGTATTTTTCTTCTCAATGGGGAATACCATTGCAAATAGTATAAATATTTTCTTTTGACTCCTCCTTATATTCTGTCCAATTTTCCTTCCATGAGTTCAGGAGCAAACTTGTACTTTGTACTGAAAGCCATTCATTTCCCTCATCTCATTTTGCCACATTGACCTAGGTGTCTTGTTACATGGGTTGCAGGCAGCTATGGGTGCTACATACTCCTGAAAATCAAAGCCAGATTGTGTCAAGTTGGGTGATCAAAGTCAGTGGCCAAAATCTGGTTACTGCAAGTGGAAGAAATCCACAGGAATTCTCTGAGTGTTGAGTTTTCATTAGTTATTATTTTAAAGTGTGGAAAAACTTACCTCTTCATGGTTCCTCTTAAGATAGATCAATTCCTCTTTTAGGGATTCAAACTGTGTCTCCAAGTCAGATCTGGATAGAGTCAGTTGATCCAGAAGTGGACGTAATCCATTAATATCACTTGCCACACTCTGGTGGAGAGTGTATTCAGTTTCATATCTAAATGACAGACAAAAAAGATAGTAAAAGTGCTGCCAGATCTCTTTGTTTGTTATCTTGAGTAGAAACAGCTCCCATCGGTACATTCTTGGTCTTTAATCCCATTGCTCAGTTCTTAAAAGAAAGGACCTAGTTCTCTTTCCATCTCCGATAGGTTTGTTTGATTTCAGCAGAATTCCTCTCTGTGAGATTTATATGATGATGATTATGCTTATAAATCTACATCCAAGGATGTAGAAAATTAAAATGTAGTCCTCTAAACGGCACTCTTCAATAACTTGTCTGGAGAAAAATTGTAATGACAGACTAACACAAAATCATCTCAGAATGCTCTTCCCAACAATTACATGCTCTGTCATTGGAGCCAAGATGTTATAGCATCTCCAAAGATAAATTGGCAATATGAACTCATAGGGGTTAAAGGGGGGAGGCAAGATGGAATGAGGCAGGAAGGGAAAGACTCACTTCAGTCTGAAGTCATCCACAGTCATTCTGGTGTTGTCAATGTCAAGAAGGATCTTGTTAAGGTCCACATTTGCACCAACAATCTGAAAGGGAGAGGGCAGATGTTATTCGGTCAGTTGTCTTTTCAGTGACATACAGATAAAGGGAAGAAATACCTGTGCAGAAATACATTTCAGAATATCTTTATGGTAATGTCAAGCCTGACTAGTGGTGCAGGAGCTATATATAGAGAGAAGAGTTTATTGCTTTCAGTTAAAATAAAGTGTCTTTGCTGACAATTTGGGTTTACAAATATCCATTAAAAATGTAGTACCTCTTGGAAAGAATAACTACATAAACTCAGTTACCATTGCATTTGTCAACAATCATATTCCTGTAGGAGATATGGGACTGTTAAATGGCTGAGGGTTAGAATTAGACTAATATTCTCAAAAAGATGCAATTAATATGACCACTAGTAGCACAACATAAGCAAGCAGTGATAGTATCTCCTGTTCAAGAGAGTGAGGAACAAACAAGAGCACAGCATTGAAGGGACCACCCATAATGGGTGCCCTAGTAATGGTCTGCCACTGCACCAGACAGTGCTACCGGCGCCAAATACAATTGTGCCAGAATAGACATATCACCCTCGGCCGAGAACAACTGGTAGTCAGGCTTTGCCACCACACCAGTCTGCTTCCTGGCTAAAACACTGGAGGGAATGCATTGCCCCAAATAGGGACGTTGTGCTGCAGGAGGCAAGTGACGTTCTAATGAGAATCTGTTCAAAGTTAGTCAAACGACATCATACCTGGTTTTGCAGTTCTTCAATTGTTCTGTAATATTGGCTGTAGTCCCTGGTCGAAGTGGGACCTTGATTTTTATACCACTCCCTGATCAGTTGTTCAAGACGAGTGTTTTCGTCCTCCAAGTGTCGCACTTTATCCAAGTAAGAAGCCAGGCGATCATTAAGGTTCTGCATGGTCAACTTTTCATTTGTGGAGAGCAAGCCGGCATCTTCACCAAACCCCACTCCACCAAAACTACCTCCACCATAGCCACCACCACCAAAGCCACCACCGCTACCAAAGCTGCCACCCCCAAAGCA